TAGAGGATGAAATCTTTATATATTGGCAGAAACTCTGACTATAAATAAAGTAAATGTTTATTCATTATGCATAGGCAAATTTCTGTTTGTGCAGATTTCTATGATTTGGGTGCTATTCAGAAGGCTTTACTATTTAACTTCTTAAAAAGGATTCAAGGATTTATTCATAATAAGAGGTATGTAGTGATTATGTCTTCCATATCTGTTTCCCAGATTCTCACATGCCCGGCACAGACTAGAAGCTTAATAAATACATTGAATGACTGAATGAATTTAGAGTTTTTAATTAACTGAATAGTGACTTAATTTACATCATGAAGTGGCACTGTAAGGGAAATTAATGGAGTTTTAGAACTAGAAGGGGCCTTCAAAATATTCTAAACTCGTTCTCATTTAAAAAATGAGGAGCTTAACTAAGGGTTCCAAAAAGGTTCAGCAATTTAAGTAAGGTCATTCAGCTAGTGAGATGGCAAGGAGTTGAACCTAGTTCTCTTAATTCTCAGATCAGCCCTTTCCTTCCCAGTCTTTCATTCCTTGACACACTTAGAAAATAATGTTTGTATGGCACCTTGGAGTAACCTGGAGACCACTTACCATAAACCCATGAACTCTGGTTGCACTGATGCCTCATTCACCTCGCCTTGGGCTGAGGAGTCTGCAGAATTCTTAGTACACAATTTGAGATGCTCTGCCTTGGTATATACCTTGAATTTATCATGTAAGTACTTGATTCATTATTCTTTTTTGGAATGTTTTTGCAACTTCTCTTTAAGAATTACCTTAATAGGTTATGGCATAGTCTTTTTCTGGTTGGTAGGATATTATAAGTTAGATGAGATAATATCTAAAAGCACTAAAAGAAAAAACCTAAATTGTTTTCTACAAGAATGGGAAGAATAAGATGTTACAGTAAGTCATCAAACTGCTGTAATCACCATGGCATTTTAAAAAAAATCTTTAAGTTTCTGTACCTTAGATATAGGCAAACCTTGGAGATTTGGTTCTAGACCACCACAGTAAAGCAAATATCACAATAAAGTGAGTCACATGAATTTTTTGGTTTCCCAGTGCGTGTAAAAGTTGTGTTTACACTTTACTGTAGTCTATTAAGTATGCGATAGCATTGTGTCTAAAAAATGTACATACCTTAATTTAAAAATTTTTTATTGCTAAAAAATGCTCATGATCATCTGAGCCTTCAGTGAGTTGTAAGCTTTTTGCTGGTGGAGGGTCTTGCCTCAATGATGATGGCTGCTGATTGATCAAGATAGTGATTGCTGAAGGTTGAGGTGGCCGTGGCAATTTCTTAAAATGGGACAACAATGAAGTTTGCCACATCGATTAACTCTTCCTTTCATGAGAGATTTCTCTACAGCGTGTGATACTATTTGATAGCATTTTACTTGCAGTGGAACTTCTTTCAGAATTGGATCAATCGTCTCACACCCTGCCACTGCTTCATCAACTAAGTTTACATAATATTCTAAACCCTTTGTTGTCATTTCAACAATGTTCATAGCATCTTCACCAGGAGTGTTTTCCATTCCAAGAAATCCCTTTCTTTATTCCCCATGGGTTCAAGTTTTATCATGAGATTGCAGCAATTCAGTCCCATCTTTGGGCTCCGCTTCTACTTATAGTTCTCTTGTTTTTTCTTCCACATCTGCAGTTCCCTCCTCCACTGAAGTTCTAGAAACCTTCAAAAATCATCCATGAGGGTTGAAGTCAACTTTTCCCAAACTCCTGTTAATGTTGATATTTTTTGACCTCCCATGAATCATGAAT